ACAAAGACACGCGTCCCTGGCAGTGTCCACTCAGCGCCCTTGTTGCCAAGCAGGAGATCGGGAGTGAATAACAATCTGGCAGTGGCAGCTGGGTTTCCTTGTCATTTACTGCTGCAAAACCCAAAGACCATGACTTTTAGATCTTTGAAATCTCAGAATCGTGGGGTCTTAGACTCATAGAATGAACAAATCGTGGAACCACAGAATCACAGTATCGTAGAACTATAAAGTCAAGGAGTCACTTGGGTGTGACAAGACCCCTACAGTCTCATCAGGAGACACGTCATGTATTTTCTGCTCATAACCAACATCAGGAGTCACCACGTTACATCCAGAAATCTGCATCGTGTATCTGAAACGGCAGTAGTGCTGCCTCTGTCCATGAGGACAATTTGTCCTTAGGACGCGCAGTCAGGCAATCAAAAATTTGTGTTGGGGTTTGGAGTCACTGGGCTGTGTGCCTGAGTTTCAGCAGAACAAAAGGTGTCCTACTGGCTTTGTTCCCGTGATGGTCCAGCCTCCTGTCATGGCTTCAAAGAAAGTGACTCTTGTTTTATCCAGATGAAAAGAAATAATAAAACACTGATAAATGGCTCAGAACTGTAAACGGCTCAATGGTTCCTCAAGGAAAAGCAGTGTGCTAATTTTAAGTGTTATGTCTGGCAGAATGGATAGCTGGTCACGGCCTTGTGGGACGTTTCCCATAGATAAGAGAGCTGCTGTGCTCTGAAATGATCACTTGAATGTCTGCTTTGGAAATTGCCCAGAGAGCAGTCAGCTGGAAGAGTTTCCTTTGGGCTGCTTCTGCTGTGCAGCCTTTGTCAGGGAGCTTATCAGTGCTGTGTGTTTTGCTGTATTTAAATACAGACTGACATCACACTTAGGTGAGGTGAAGACTGTTTTTAAGATAAAGGCAAAGCAGGCAGGTGATACTTGGTAGTAACTTCACATTAAAGGTTCGACTCCAGAAAACCCTCTTTGCTGGTTTGATGATACCTAAAAAGGAATCCTAAGTTCTTTGTGACTGTACAATGCTGAAACGTAAAGTGTGATGGGGTCCGAGGTTCTCAGGCTGCTCAGCCAGCAGCTGAGCATGGAATCATGGCTTCTTTTAACTTGGAAAAGACCTCTCAGGTCATCCAACCATTAACTGAGTGCTGCCAATTCCACCGCTAAACCCACAACCTGTGACATGTCACCATATCTGCATCATGTCACCCTGCT